GGTAAGCTGAATGTTGCCTTATTGTCTTTGCCCGCTCACCATCTTCATTTCAGCAATGAGCTAGCTCAAAGGCTAGACAACCTTCCTATCGCTGCCGACGCCGCCGCTGTCGAGAACGCCTCCGTGGAGAACCGCTGGTGTCAACTGCGAGACACGGTCCAATCGACGGCGCTCGCCGTCCTTGGTCGCGCTCCCCGTCAACACCAGGACTGGTTCGACGACAACGACGCCGCCATCAGAAATCTGCTTGCTGAGAAGAACCGCCTACACAAAGCCTACGTAGATCACCCCGCTGATGGCACCAAAGCTGCCTTCTACCGCAGTCGCCGCCAACTTCAACAACGACTGCGCGAGATGCAGGACGCCTGGACTGCTCGCAAAGCTGAGGAGATCCAAGGGTACGCGGACCGCAACGAATGGAAGAACTTCTTCTCTGCGATCAAAGCTGTCTACGGTCCGCCGACGAAGGGCACTGCTCCTCTCCTCAGCGCCGACGGCAACACTCTCCTGACTGAGAAGACGCAAATCCTGCAGCGATGGGCCGAGCATTTCCGAGGCGTCCTCAACCGCCCCTCCGTCATCTCCGACGCCGCCATCGAGCGATTGCCGCAAGTGGAGACCAACGCGGACCTCGATCTCCAGCCATCTCTCCAGGAAACCATCAGGGCCGTGCAGCAGCTCTCCAGCGGGAAAGCACCCGGATCGGACGCAATCCCTGCTGAGGTCTACAAGCACGGAGATCCCCAACTGATGGATCACCTGACTGCGATCTTCCAAGAGATGCGGCGTCAAGGTGAAGTCCCGCAAGATTTCAAAGACGCAACCATCGTGCATCTCTACAAGCGCAAAGGGAATCGCCAAGTCTGCGACACTCACCGCGGCATCTCCCTGCTAAACATCGCCGGGAAGACCTTCGCCCGCATCCTTCTCAACCGCCTCAACAACCATCTGGAACAGGGCCTTCTGCCGGAAAGCCAATGCGGCTTCCGTCGCCATCGTGGGACCACTGATATGATCTTCGCCGCCCGTCTACTTCAGGAGAAGTGTCAGGAGATGCGGACCCACCTGTACTCTACCTTCGTGGACCTGACGAAAGCCTTCGACACGGTGAATCGTGAAGGACTGTGGAAGATCATGGAGAAATTCGGCAGTTCGGAGCGATTCACTCAGATGGTGCGTCAGCTGCAAGACGGTATGATAGCGCGAGTCACGGACAACGGAGCTGTCTCAGAGGCATTCGCAATGACCAACGGAGTGAAGCAGGGCTGCGTTCTGGCGCCTACCCTCTTCAGTCTTATGTTCTCTGCCATGCTGATGGACGCCTACCGCGACGAACGCCCCGGGATCCGCATCGCCTACAGGACGGACGGTCACCTCCTGAATCAACGGCGTATGCACTTCCAATCGCGCGTATCCACAACCACCGTTCACGAACTCCTCTTCGCCGACGACTGCGCCCTGAACACCACCTCGGAAGAGGAGATGCAACGGAGCATGGACCTGTTCTCCGCCGCCTGCGAGAACTTCGGTCTGATCATCAACACCCAGAAGACGGTGGTGATGCACCAACCGCCACCCAACTCAGCTGCAGCCCCCAACTCGCCGCCGCAAATCAGCGTGAACGGAACCCAACTGCAGGTGGTGATGAACTTCCCATACCTGGGCAGTACTCTCTCCCGCAACACCAAGATCGACCACGAAGTCGCCAACAGGATCTCGAAAGCCAGTCAAGCCTTCGGTCGCCTCCAAAGCACAGTTTGCAATCGCCACGGTCTTCAGCTGAGCACGAAGCTGAAGATGTACAAGGCCGTCATCCTGCCGACACTACTGTATGGAGCGGAG